ATACCCTAGGGCCCTGGTTCATAAAACTTGTTATCAATAACAAAATACAATAATTGTTATAAGCTACTGAAATCCTTAGCTGTGATTGGCTAGGAGTAGGTTTGTCATAGATCTGTGGCAGTTGTTATTGATAACAAGTTTTATGAAACTCCGTTCACGTTGGGGAACCCGGGGTAGAGTGGAATGAGGGGCAAAGTGAAACACGCCCGGTAAATTTTTGTTTATGCTGCCATCTATCTAAGTTCATGTGCCAATAACACTGCAACGGGGATGCATCGTTTGTTACCGGTGTTAGGTGAATACGTCATATATGTGTACTTTTTACGGAAAATGTCGGTTTTTCATACATAAAAACCGATAATTAATATAAGTATATTATCTGCTAAAATACTGTTTTCATGTCGAATTATCACGAAAGCCATTTCAATGATGGATGGGCTTAAGCTTAACTTTATACATCGTAGCATCGCTAGTAATCATTGGCCCAGGCACGTGAAATAATGTCTGAAAAATTTCGCTTGTCCAGGGCAAAGTGGATTGTTAATATATTTTTTTCAAGTTCATATTATTTCATAAAACTGATTATTTGAGAAACATGTTAGTGTCAATTGTTAGTGGTAGTCCTAAGGTAAAAGTATAAACCAAATGCTTTGCTTTACTTAACTTTGTAATCCTGTTCTGGTTGTTCTAATTTTTTCGGTCCACTTTGCCCCGGGTTCCCCCACGTACACTACACATCTACACACGTACATCTTACACACACGCTTTTTTAACAAACTCCTTTCGCTACTTTTATTACACTACAAACCACGCCCATCCATTTTATTACAGTTCTCTGTCACTCTCTAATCTATGTCTCTGCCAAGTCAATGTAATTAGTTCAGAATCTGGACAGTGTTGGTTTATTTTGTGATCTCTCGATCCAATCCCCTACATGGTGTCAGCCGAAGATGGCGTGATCCACGAATCCGTTGACATCAACGGTATGGGCCCAGTTTCGCTTGGCGTAAAATTTTGAGGATATCACGCAAAATCTTCGGCTTGCAGAAAGTAGAGGAAGATCGCGTTACGTTCGTGGAGATTGTTCAACAATCAAATCGTCCAGATTCCTGACTACGTCATGTCTGCTTTTCACTTTTGTATGGACGATTCTCTCTCTTTCTCTCTAAGCTTCTCCTCCTGCTCATCATTCTCTCCCCAGCCTTCATGTTTTTTCTCTCCCCATAACAACTCTCAGTATCACGGAGGAGTGTCTCTGACGTGTTTCGGCCAGGTTGTGTCATCGTCCCTCTTTCTCTTCTCTTTCTCTCTCTCTCTCTCTGAGCAAGAAATGTTAATGGCAAAAATATTTAGAATCGTGCTACTTATTTCGAAGTTCTAATTTTTATTTAATGGCCTGTATTTGTTTTCTTCAATCACATGAAACCATGAAGCGTCGCTACATGTATTGAACACTTTAGTCCAAATGTAGGGAAAAAATAACTTCTTTCTGTTAACACCTTTCGTAAAAGAGAAATTCTCATAATGCGTTTGAGTCTGCGATACTCTGAATCAACGTTTAATGATTTTTAAACGAATACTTAAATAATTAAAATTCACCATTTCCTACTGTCCAATAAGCGATCATTTAATCATTATCATGGGACTATTTTCTTGGATTGTCGCAAGTTAATCAGGCGAATATCTAACAATGACATGTGATGTTAAGATAACTGGTTTTTACAACCTTATCTTTGAGGAGACTTTTTGAATATGTTTAATAAAGAATCCTTACAATTTAAATAAAAAATGAACATGTATACTCTATCCATATAATTATTCACTTTAGCTTTGCAAATAGTTTATATTTTATTGCAATATGTTAAACTGAAATGAAAGAATTACACCAATGTATCATAACAGACATTAATCATTAATTAAAATCGTTTAAAGTCGAGTGTCTATCAATTTCATTGACGAGCTAGTGTAACTTATTCCAAAATAAAAAAAAACAAGTCTACGAACATCCCCACATTTAACAGAATACAGTATGAGGATTTTGATGCTGCTCTAAAAAAACAAGACTAGTGCTTTATTTACCCTCGAAAACAACGAGAAAGCCTCCTAGAAAAGAGGGGTGCATATATATTTTTACTCTCACACCTAACGTACATCACCCCCAAAAGAAAACATGTCTACGAATATCCTCACATGTCAAAAAGACATTATGATGATTCTGAAACTAGCTAAACTCATGATTTTGAAACTAGCTAAACTCATGCTCCATGAACCCTCGAAAACAGGAATGAAAAAGAGGTAACAAAGGGGAAAGCATCCTAGAAAAGAGGGATGCATATATTTCCTTTACTTTTCAACGCCAAGGTCTTTCTTTTGTGGCCCATTGAACACGCAACCATACAACTTAGCCATTAACAGACCCCTAACGTAATTTGTGTCTGAATAGCGAGACGTAATTTGTTCTACGTGACGTTCAGGTAGGGCAAAATCAGCATCGAATATTGCAGAAATAGGGTGATTTTCTTCGTTGAAGACAAATCAAAAGCCATCACTAGTATATAAAGGCTTCGTGACAGGGAGCGAATTCGTGTTATTTCTGCAGAAGACATATAATTTTGAATTCGGTATGAATTCATTTGAAATTTAAGAAATCAAAGCCTGTACGAGTTTCGGATGCACAGAGAAAACACTGCCAGTCGGTGTACCCTACAATATAGTGTGTTGGTTAATTTACTGAAGTTTCGTGATTACAAAAAGGCGATCTTCTAAGTCATAATTCCGGAACTTCTCGAACGATTAACTGCAGGTCAAGATGGAATATTTTACCCTTCTCAATCAGACAAAATTTCTACTATACAATTATCCTGGAAAAAATGTTTTCTACTTCAGCTTCTGCCTCTCCATGATAATTATCATTTGGATTGGTAACTCAATTGTCATAGCAACAGTCTTTACCTACAACAGTTTGAAGAAGCCGACATATTTCATTCTTACAAGCCTGGCTGTTACTGATCTTCTAACTAGCATTATCGCGATACCATTGGAGATTTATCGTCGGACGAATGTGAACGATATCACCTGCTCGGCGAGATGGGAAGTCTATTTATTGGGGATGACATATATTTGTGGATTTGACTCGATGCTACACATTGTAATGGTTACGTTTGATCGATACATCGCCGTAGTAAAATCGCTCCGATACAACGCATTGGTTACGCAGAAACGCATAGCAATCGCAGTGCTGGTAGGATGGATAATATCTATCGCATCGGTTATCGTTCAGGTCGTAATCTACCATAACAAAGAAACGGTTCCGTCGGTTAACTGTCTAGGGATTCGATACCGTCCGGATCTTTACACGGTTCTGTTTGATATCTTCATATTCATCACTACTACAACATCCAGTATCACCATGGTCATCTTAAACGCAATCATCCTGCGCACCGCTATTAGGCAACTTTAACAGATCGCCAGCGTTGAACACGCTTTACACAACACAAACGGCATGTCAGAAAGCCGCGAAGAAGCAGCTATAAAGATGAAAGCGTGTAAAGTCATCATTTGCGTCGTGACCGCTTTCATCATCTGCCACCCCCCATCGGCGTCATGCACCTGTGTCTTGCCGTTTCTGATAGCGTCGTCCTGAACAGCGCTTTGAACGAAATCTCGTTTGTTCTTTATCTAATCAGTTCTGCGGTTAACCCGTTGATTCACTGCCGGGTTGACCGCGTATTTAGGGAATGCACCTGGCGCATGCTACGTTCAGTCGTGAACAGATTTTCTGGATGGGATAACAACCCGATTTCAAATGGTGAGGTAAGCCGCACCTAAAGGACATCACTGTAGAAACCTGCCCTTGTTCCGTGTTAACTTTCTTGTATGAATTCCATTCGATTGCCTCGGAAAATGCAACATCACAATTCTCATTGTGAAACTTTTATTTAAAAATAATAATACCTAGTACATGTATATGTTACAACCTGACCACCTGACCCAATCCAGAATCTAGCCGGTTCTTTATATTATATTCCCGGCAATTGATTTACGCTACCGAAGATGGAGTTATCAATGAACGCTCACCATCTAGCCTTCGGGCGTCCTATAGGTATAATTTACTTTGGTTCTCGTAATATAATCCCTAGGAATTATCCCAGAAATGGGCTGTATCCAACATATTTACACATAGTTATGATTTACCATGTATATTTCACCTTTTTAAAAATGTTAATTGTTATGGTTATGAAACAAATAAACAAACTTTCAGAATGTAATCTGGACATAGTGAAAACTACATGGAACTGGCTGTAACAAAAATTGTAATTGTTATGGTTATAAAAACAAAACAAACAAACTTTCAAAATGAAATCTGGACATCGTGAAAACTACATGGAACTGGCTTTATTGACAAATGGTAGCGTAGGGTAATGGTTCAGATAGGAATTCACAGATACGTTTAAGCCTATCTGCACAAGTTTGGCAAGGAGGGATTACAAAGATACATTAGCCATCTATTCGTTAATAATAATAATAATAATGATAATAATGATGACAATAATAATAATAATAATAATGATAATAATGATGACAATAATAATAATAATAATAATAATGATAATGTGTCATACGAACTAACTAGTGCTGTAATAGAAAATGAAAAGGAAGAGAATAGAAAAGAGAAAGATACCCTTATCATACTTTCTTTGGAAATTGTTTCTCATCTTTGTATCGTCGTTGGACAAACAGTTTTTGAGCGTCAAGTAACGCCTGGCTGGAATGCTTCCCAAGGAGTGGAGAATGTGCACACAGTGTGTGCGGGCAAGCACTGAATCCAATGACAGGGGTAATAGTATATTTATCAAGCGCTTAGAGACATTGTTTTAAGCGCTAAATAGAAGCTAAATATTAAATAGTATTAATATATCTTATTAACAGTGCATTTACAAAAGACCTTAGTTTAGCTCTTTTTTAACGCTTGTTTACCGCGTAATATAATGTACAAGCCTTTATGGAGCTTTCTTACATACGAATGGGGCCGTAACTGAACCACAGAAAACATCGTTCCAGTGTTTGTCTACGTCATCAGCGGCACTCTGGCGCCAGAAGGCGACACAGTCCTCGTTTCCTCCATTGTTGTCTGGCTGAGTGGGCTCCCAGGAAGTGTAGTTGTCCGGTGTCCCGTCAATCCAGGTGAACGGATCCGAATCTGCATGTTGGTAGTATCCGATCCACAGTAACTGACCCAGATATAGTTCCTGTAAATTTAACAGCAGGTGTCTAAAATTGAAGTTCCTGATCCATTTTGTCTATCAGTTATCTCAAATATCCAACAGATGTTTTTTTATTTTGATCATCCTCGATTAAAAATATTTAGAAGAAAAACAAATATTTTAAAAAAAAAATCATCATACTATATCCACACTCCCGAACATAATAAGTGTTTGGTTCCTTTCAGAATAACAGTACGTTACAAAGAACTGATGGGGCTACCCTGTTAAAATAATATCGAATTGTGAGGGAAAACCACAGGTAAAAACCATTGAGGCTCATATGACGTGGTAAACCGCGTGTAAAAATGAATGGCATCTACGTGCAGCAAAGGTCCTACGCATATTCACTTAGCTCTTTGTTATAGCATACGGAATTGTGACTTATAATGTCGTCAAAGAAAATTCCCGCGGTATTGCCGCGTCGTATCTTAACGCGTCCTAGTGCCTAGGTCGCATTTGCCGCGGCAGCCGTGCGGTCTAAAATATCCACGACCAATTATAGGACCACCGCAGAATTCTCACGGTCACATACGATAGCGCTCACATTTGTTAGGGTAGCCGCACGGCGTATTTTGAATTTGTGGAGACAGAAAATCTGCGACTGCCGTACGGCCTTTGAGGTGATGACGCACGGTCGCCTTAGGGCGTCCCGGCGGCGCCCGTAGTTTTTTGATAAATACTAAGGCAGGCGCAAGGTAGCCGCAAGGTACCCGCAAGGCGGACGGAGGAGGACCATACGGCGACCGTGCGGCCAGACTAATGCTACCGCTTCACCCCTGCAATATAAAACGCAAGGCTACCGTAAGCCCGATGTACGGTCGCTCTGGAACCGATCTACGGCATGGTTTACGGCATGTCTAATTGCTATAGTGAACCAAGAAATGAACACAGTTATAACTCCTCGTTATAATCCCACGGCGACCCGCACGGCCTGTCAAAATAGGGAGACGCCTTAGGGTGACCCTGAGGCCACCGCAGGTTCTCTGCGGCCGCCGCAAGTATATCTCGATTTCGGGGGCGTACGGCCGCCGTATCCTGTCCGTAGAGAAAATGTGACCTAGGCATAGACGAAAAACAATCCCTTGATCAAATCGCCTGTGTATCGCCAAATGTATTACTATGCTTAAATATTGGTATATATATGAAAAGTTTATGCGGATGAATAAAATAGATTTTATCATTATTTCGTTGATCTGCACCAACCTCGGCCAACCACAGGTTGTAGACGAATGCATTCTCAGCCTCACTGTGTATTGAAACCAAGTCCGCTGTTCCATTCTTGACCGTTCGGCAGACTTTTAAGGCGCTTTTAAAGTTGACTGGGTTCCGAAAATAGCCGTAGCAACTGCCTTCAAAATAGAACCAGGATTGAGCGCAAGAGCCCGCGCTCGGTGTTGTCATCGCAGTATCATCATCTTTTACTAATGACAAAAGAATAAGTTAATGTATTGAATTAAAACATCTAACATCGGCTTATACTAGGGGGATTGTGTTTTCGGCTGTATTTAAACAGTGTTTCCTACGTTTGTTTTTGCTTTTAATTTTGTTTTGGTAAACATGAGTTGAAAATAATGTTGTTTTTTACAAATGTTATAATTGATACCTTAAATTTACAATAAATATGCTAATGCCTCAATCTTACAGCCAGGAACATGTTAAAATTATTGTTTTTTATGATAATATTGATGATGATGATAATGGTGATAATATAAATAATAATAGTGCAAATGATAATGTCAATAATCCACATGTTGATGACAATATAAATAGTTATGACAGTAGCATAACATCTGGTACAAAATGTGGTGGAAATAGGTGCATACTCTGCTATTCATTGACTCGTTACTCTTCTTCGTTTTAGTGTATTTCTTTTTCTTTTTGTTCTTTTTCCCCATATTTTACTGTCCCTGTCTTCCTATTTTTTTTACAAGCCCTGCTTTTTTATGGGTTCCTGCACATTTCACAGTTTGTATTTTTCTTGTTTGGGTTTCCTTTAAACGTTAATAGTTGTCTAACAAATTAGATGATATGTAACTTCATAGTCTGATTAATTTTGCCACTACTATGATAACAACAATTAAATTATGAAACAATATGTCTGTTATGTATATTTTGTTATCTGTATTGTATCTGCATATGAAATGTGAAACCAATAAACTCAAACTCAATGACTAAATAATAATAATAACATGAATAATATCAATATTTATATGGATACTATAAACAATAATGAATTCCTAGTACTAATACTGCTTGTAAATGTGTGTGTCTTTCGTAACTCAACAATGAAAAGTGGACTGGTTGAATAAGGGCCTGTGTTGAATACTTTCAGATGTACGCTTTAATATGTCACATATGCTTGTAAAGATTTTTCTGTATCATATTTTAAATACGCAGATGATTTAACACTATAATAAAATGTATAACAAATACACGAACATCGCTATTACAAGGCAAACTTGAACGGCTCGAATCATGGACTTCATCAAATAATATGAAATTAAATGTATTTAAATGTTCCGTCATGCATTTTCATAAACCAATCTATACAACCAACTATGTTATATATTGATAATACACCTTTACTCTTGGTAAATATGGTTAAGATTCCTGGTGTCACAATTTAAAGTGACCTTAAAGGTATAGACCAGTTCTGGTGATGGGATTGCATTATGAAAGAAACTTTGTGGAATCGATCAGAAATGGTTGATCATCTAGCATATAAGTATTGGGGTGTACTCCAAGGTTCTGGAATCATCAAAATGATAAGTAATTTGGCCTAGTCTTGGTAAAGTTACAAGCACCTGTACGCAGGAAGATGTATATGGGACTACGCGATATCTAACCATTCCGGATAGATATAATAATTTACCAAATATATCAATTAGTAGGCGATTTCGAGGCAAAATCTGCATCATCACGAATTAGTCAAAACATTTTCTTTCACATGATTGGTAATTCGAGCTTCCATTTTATTTTTTGAGAGAGGGTCGTTTCCAAAACTGGTCTATCCCTTGAAGTGGAATACTCATTCATGTAACTGAAATTATGAAGAAGATTAATAGAAAGTTCTTCATGCTGTGTAGAATAAAAACGTACAACCTACCTGTTTGTGAACTGTTAACCGAATAGATTGGATATTTAAGACTACTTTTGGAGTACTGTGCCACGGTACGTCCTTTTGCTGCAAGGTTATCTATCAGACAGGTTAATGATATAAAAAGTATACATAATAAGAGCATGTAGAATTATTTGTGGATAAACATACAGTTCATATAAAGATATTGCTGTTTCATTATACAAATTATGTTGTGTCAATCGTGGTTACCTCCAAGAAAAGAAATTACATTTACGAAATGTCAAAAATATCAAGGATGCAGAACAGAGAGATTCCAAAATAGTGCTCTTCCTAATTTCACACTTGTACTCAGTGGTGATGCTGTCAAGTCACCATCAAGCCACTGCATTTTTGTAATGTTTATACGTTTATAAATATATATAAATACATGTATCTACAATCATAAATCCATTTGTCAGTATATTACGACGCAATAAATGATAAAAAAGAGAAGACTCATGCTTTAAATCCAACGGTCTTTATTCGGTCATAAATTATCGACGTAGATTATCGACGTAAAATTAGTTAACTAATAAAAGCTGTTGGATAACATGAATCTTCTCTTCTTTATCACACCCACATAGTATATACATATATATAACCCTGCATGTTGTATTCACAGGACATATATTTATATACAACAAAACTGAATATATACTACGTACCAGGAATAAAACAGACAAAAATCGTCGATACTTTGTCCAATCCAAGAATACCTTGCAACCACGGAATATGCGCAGTAGCTACGGCTCTTGGTTCCAAGGCAATGATGTCACCATTGTCCAATGCTATCGAGCCACACTTGATTTGACATTGTTCAGAACGCAGGTTACCCGCTACCACTCGAGCAACTAAGTAAATTAAGAAAAGACAATGATGACAAAGGCGAGACGATAATGGTAATTATGATGATGTTGATGATTTTGATGATGATGATACTGATGATTTTGATGATGATAATGATGATGTTGAGGATGACGATAATGATGATGATGATACAAATGATTGTGATCATGAGGTTAATGATGATGTTGATGTGGCTGATGATACGATGATGATGATGATGATAATACAGATGATCATGATCATGATGGTAATGATGATCGGATGATGATGATGATGGTAATGATGATGATGATGGTGATGATGATGATGATGATGGTGGTAATGATATTGATTAATAAAAATGATCATTATCATGATGGTATTTAAGCTGTTCATGGTCATGATGGTAGTGAGGATTTTATAATAAGAATGTTTTATTCGCAGTCCGTAAAATATTACCTGTGTTGTTAAGCTTTCAGTCACTGTCAAGGAAGTTCGTCTGAACTTAATCGCAGGTAGTGGATAGCAGTACGACGATTATTTTCAACGTTATATTATCAATCAGATGAACCTCTTCAGTGGTATAAGATGCCCTTTTTTTATTTTCCCCCACAAATCTAAATTGCTTATCCAGAATTAATTTAAGTAGTTCGAAAAACAAGCGAACAAAAATGTCTTTGATACAAAATACCGACGAGGATTGTGAAGACAATTTTATAGTAATAATAGTAATGATAGATATAATAATATTTATAATTTTTATAAATTTGTTTTTATTATACTAATAATAATAATAATAATAACTAGACTTTAATTCGTCACTTAGACGAATTAGGTGATACGTATGATAGTGGTTTACATAGCGAATAATGCATTACACGATATATTATTTTGTAAAATGCTTTTCCCATTTATATGCTTCTCCCATTATGATCTATTCATATGTCAAGATTAAATTGTGTCTCCTTGATCATCATGGATCTAGGGAAGATAGATTGAAACAATATATGACCTTTGACCCTGTGCAGTAACCAGTTACACATTTGACTCTAATTTACATCATGAAGAACACCTTTTGACGATTTTTATCTTATTCAAAGAAATGAAAATGTAATTGATAAATGATTATCATCATTATGATAATGATGATCATGATGATCATGATCATGATCATAAGCGCGATCATGACATCTTATTGAAAAAAAAGAGGGTTGATTTAGATAGCATATAGTCTCAGCTACAACATACTCAAAAATCAACAAAATCCAAGCCGAAATAACGGCGATATTGTTCGCAAAAGACAGGAATGTAGAATCCAGATTTGAAAAAAAAGTCATCTCCCAAAGGGATTACACGCAAAAAGTAATGGATTAAGTGAAAATAGGGTAATAATAAAGTAAAAGGGGTTATTTATGACATTATTTGCGAATCTACATGTTTAAATAATCAAAGGAGATGGTACAGTGAAGGTCAAAAGGAAAAAAAAAGTGAAAAAAAAAGTGTTGGAGACACCCGGAATCGAACCAGGGATCTCGAGGTTGGAAGTCAAGTGCGTTACCGATATACCAAAACATCTCCCATAGCGATTAATTACACGTAAACGGGAAATGGAATTCAGAAATCCTACTTTGCAAGTGAAATATGAGCATAATCCCGGCATCTGATCGAAATATAAAAGGCACACGTGTGATAGCTTATTGTCTCAGCTACAACATATTCGAAGCTCAGCGAAAACAAAGCTAAAATATGGGAGATTTCGCTCGCAAAAGACAGGAGTGTAGAATCCAGTTTTGAGAAAAAGTCATGTCCCATAGAGAATACACGCAAAATGTGAAAAATTGACATGCCTCCTTTAATCGCAAAAGTACGCCTTGATGCCTTAGTCAAAATGAAAAATTGTGGCAACTATACTTGTAGCAAATTGTCTCAGCTAGAACATATGAAAATTTAAAAGAAAATTGATCAATATTTACAGAGATACAATTAATTTTCCAAAAATATGCTGACGTCATAATATGCAAATTGAAATTTTGAGTTTGGAGGCCATTATGATGACATCATGAGTTAATTGAGGGTCAAATGAGACATGAAATCATATCTCCAACTCATAATCTATCTAAATATGAAAACATATTGGGAGTTCCCATCCATTCTGAACAGTTACAATGAATTTTGTATAGGCATGTTTTTGCCAATGTATGGTGGATAAAGATAACGCAGATCTGCGCGTGCTGTCAACTTTGACGGACGCTCATTGCGTTATTAAAAGGTGAACAAGTTATCAAAATGCTTGGAAAAATGTATCAAATATAATGACAGAAAAAATTCGGCGATTCTATATTGCAAAATGCCAGTACGCGCGAAAATGCGCGCGCATGCGCGTGTGCGTAATTTTTTTATCAAATGCTCCATATGGCCTGAAACGGATGTAAAAAAAAATTGGGATGATTTGGAGCAT